GGGGGGTCCTGGAGGGAGAACCAGGAAAGGAGATAACATTTGAAATGTAAAAGCATAAAATATCTAACAAAAAAAGCAAATAAGTAAATAAAATGAGAAAGGGCCACCAGCAATCATTAATGTAGCAACACAATGGGAACTAAATCATTTTCTTTCAAAGAAAATAAACTCACACTTTTATCCTCCAAAATGTAAAGCTTAGCAACATTTTGAAGTTAGGATGGTATTCACTCTTAAAGGACACAAATAATTATTATTCTGCAATTGATTGTTGAATCACTAGACATCAGATTTGAGGAATTTTCTAATCTTTTCTTTAGTTGCTTCACTACTCTATATGTAGAAATCCCTCATATCTAATCACTCAGATCCTTTGGAATACTTGTTAAATTATAGAGATTTTTCATTTCTAACAAGCTACTTGGTTGTAGGTTTCATTGACATACCATAACATATGTATTAGCTTAAATAAAGTATAATCAAAGATATAAACAAATAAAATATAGAAGTAATTGTTGGGAGCCAACTCCTAGCCAAAAGCGGCTATCATCTTTACAGCCATCTCAAGCCATATTCCCTGACAAGAGACTTGTTTTCAACAGCCTGCAATAGCTTAGCACACTCTGATAAACATCTTGTTACAATGTTTAGTGCCCCCAGTTGCAAGGTGCACCTGGTATCCATGGCTACAAGGCACATGATGTACTGCCTTCAGTTGAGCTTGTCCACGAGGGCAAGTCACGTGGTAAACGGTATAAATACTCAGGATTTCCTTTCTATAGAAGAGACTATAAGGGAATACAGGAGAATAGAGTAGAATAGACTAGACTAAAGGAGAATATAAGAGATTAGAGGAGAATAAAGAAGAGACTTGAAGAGACTCGACCAGACTCTGTCTTGTATCTATCTTTTGTGTCTCTCGCCCCTCTTTCGCCTTCCTCTGTCCCCACTCTCTCTCTTGGTAGACCCTGACCTGTGGACCAGAGCAGCAGAACAGGCCTTTACAAAATAACAGAAGTGGTGCCCAACTCGGGCGGCAAGAACCAGAGACTCAGTGTGGGACATTACTGGAAGAAGGATCGACTGAAAATTCAGAAGTGAAACAGAGGTGATTGCCACAAGAAACTGCCGTGTGGAGACCAGTAAGTCATAGTAATAATGGGGCAAGAAATAAGTCAGCCTGAACTCAACTCTCTGTTTTTGTTCTGTTGCTTGCTGTTTATGTGTATCAATTGTCTACTTTTGTTTTGCTATTTAAATGTTGCCTTTCGTGTCCAAAAGAAAAAGAAACACATAGAATCCAAAATATGAGCAAAGGTTGAAGTAATCAATTTGTCAGAGCCAGATTGTCCTGACCTAGAGGAAGAAGCATCCAAATGTTTTGATTCCGAATGGCCTTCTTCCCGAAGGCCCCCTCCCTGCGCTCTTCCACCTCCATATGCTCCTGCTATGGAGATGGTGATTCTAGATCCCAGAAAGGCATTACAGCACAAAATTTCTCACCTTAAACAACAAATTTCTCTGCTTAAATAACAAATAGAGTTAGAAAATGAGTATCAGGACTTAAGTAATCAGCTACAAAAACTAAAGACAGAGAATAGGTCTCGAGAGGGCAAGGAAAATCCCCCAGGTCCTCGAGTTCCTCAACCCAGAGTCCAAAGGCAGCCCCTGTCCTCTGGTTTTAGTTCAGCCACATATCAGCCAGAAGAGAGAGAGGTTAAGGTTTTCCCTATATCAGAGACTAGAGACACTCAAGGGGTTAAAGAATTAAAAATTCAGTGTCACAATTGAGTGCCACTGCTCCCTTTACTATTGCAATCTTAGAATCTGTTACAGAGGAGTGGCTGACTCCTGGTGATTGGAATACTCTAGTGAGAGCAGTTCTTAGTGATGGTGACTATCTTATTTGGAAATCAGAGTATTATGAGTATTGTAAAGAGACAGCTAGGAGAAACATTCAGGCAGGTAATGGTTGGTCCTTTGATCCCTTAGTAAGAGAAGGGCAATTTGCTTCTAGAGAGAACCAGATGCAATATGATCCAGGCTTATTCGCTCAAATTCAAAATGCAGCCATGAAGGCTTGGCACACCCTGGTGCATCTTTGACCACAGTCAGACAAGGGCCTGGTGAACAATTTTCTGATTTTGTTCATCGATTAATGACAACAACAGGGAAGATTTTTGGTAATGCAGAGGCAGGTGTAGATTATGAGAAACCACTTGCATACGAAAATACCAATTTTGCCTGCCAAGCGGCCATTAGCCCCTATAGGAAAAAGACAGACCTTACTGTGTATATCAGACTCTGTTCTGGCATACGGCCCTCCTACCAACAGGGCTTAGCTATTGCAGCTGCTATGCAAGGACACTCAGTAAGAGACTTTTTGGCAAGTAGAGACAAAAAGGCCTGTTTTAAATGTGGCAACCCTGGACACTTTACAAAATATTGCCAAGCAGAAAATGAGTTAACCCAGAGACAGCCTAGAAAACAGCCTGGGCTATGCCCATGTTGTAAACGTGGAAGGCATTGGGCTAGTGAATGTAGGTCCAAGACAGATGCACAAGGAAACACCCTTTCACATAATCAGAGAAATGGGAACAGGGGCCAGCTCCAGGCCCCAAACCAATTCACGCCAAAACAGGCATATGGGGCAGTCAGTTTCACACCAACAAACAACAACCCCTTTCAGAACTAAACCGAGCAACACCAGGAAGCACAGGACTGGACCTCAGTTCTGCCACCCACACAGTATTAACCCCATATATGGGACCTCAGGCCTTAACCACTGGAGTGTTTGGACCACTCTATCCAAATGTGTTTGGCCTGATAGTGAGAAGAAACAGTGCTACTATATGGGGACTACAATTTTTTCCTGGATTTATAGACAATGATTATGAAGGTGAGATTAAGGTAATGGCCAAGACAATACAGAATATAGTCACCATTCCTACAGGAAGGAAGATAGCTCAACTATTGTTACTTCCATTGATTCCTACTAATCACAAGTATAAGAGTCCTAAAAGAGGAGATCAAGGCTCTGGTTCCTCTGATGCATACTTTGGTTCCTCTGATTCTCAAATGGCAGATGCAACACGATGGCTGCCAGAGAGACTGATTAAACAAATAGACAACAATAACAAATCCAGGGAGGAGAAAACCCCCGAGAAGCATATTTTTTCTTTACAGGAAGCATGAAGATGCTTCATAATTGTCTTCAAACAGGAGCAGATCAACCAGCATATCAGACTTTGGAAGTTCTCAGTGCGTAAAAAGACATCACTACCCGCGCCTCCAGGTGGCTCTATTAGACTCTTGGTGCCATGATTTACGATTGAGTGGGGTACTTTGTTTAAACCCAAGAGAGAACCCATTACCATAGTTACTATAGTTGTTTTTTGGGGGTTGAGATTGATTGAGGCAGGGACAGGAATTTTCTTACATGTATTGTTAAGATCAAAGCTATGCTCAGTTCTGTACTTATATAGATTTAGATTTAGAAAACAGTGTTACAGAATAGAAGAGGCTTATACTTTTTACTCCTCCAACAGAGGGAGTTGTGTGCTACCCTTAAAAAGAGTGTTGCTCTGAGGCAGAATGGTTTACATCAACCATTCAGGCATTGTTAAGTCTCTTGTGTGTTGGGTACTGATGGCTTTCGCACAACAATAGATAGGCACTATTCAAATGAAACCCATACAGGTCCATTATTACAGGCAAGAAGTAGGGGACTAAAACCTCTGTCATCAAGACTGATGAGGATTATCCATAACTTATGCACTAAGCCGGATAGTCAATGATGGGTAAGAGAACACTTAAAGACCCTTGCCCCTAACTGGGAGGCCTCACCATCCTAAGACAGGAGCTCAACAATGGCTGTTGAGTATCCATAGATTGGAAAGGGAGGCTGGGGTCCTTTGTTCCAACCTAAGACAGGCACGGTTTCCATAAGTTTTCCCAGCCTTCCCTTTTGAAAATAAATTTAAAAAGGAGGACCTGTTGGGAGCCAACTCTTAGCCAAAAGCAGCTATCATCTTTACAGCCATCTCAAGCTATATACCCTGACAAGAGACTTGTATTCAACAGTCTGCAATAGTTGAGCACACTCTGATAAACATCTTGTTACAATGTTTAGTGCCCCCAGTTGCAAGGTGCACCTGGTATCCATGACTACAAGACACATGATGTACTGCCTTCAGTACAGCTTGTCCATGAGGGCTAGTCACGTGGTAAAGGGTATAAATACCCAGGATTTCCTTTCTATAGAAGAGACTATAAGAGAATACAGGAGAATAGAAGAGAATAGAGGAGACTAAAGGAGAATATAAGAGACTAGAAGAAAATAAAGAAGAGACTTGAAGAGACTCGACCAGACTCTCTCTTTTATCTATCTTTTGTGTCTCTCATCCCTCTTTCACCCTTCCTCTGTCCCACTATCTCTCTTGGTAGACCCTGACCTGCGGACCAGAGCAGCAGAACAGACCATTACAAAATATCAGAACCAGCCGTTACAAAAGAAATGGCCGTTACAAGTAATAATTTTGAAACTGTAGCTGAAAAGAACTCATCAAACAATACTAGCCATATTTTTATTATATTTTTTATATATTTTACATATTTTATATATTTTATTATATTTATTATATTTCTAGCCATATAGCTGCTCCTTTTAATATAAATCTAGCCATTATCTACTGATGTTAATATCATGAATTCCCTAACAGATATCGGGATATATGTCTCCCATATTTATTCGTATTTCTCCAGGTCTTATTTCAATTCTTGAGTCATTTTCTGCAAGGAACTCCATTTAAAATATTGCAGAATTTAGAAGAGCAATATTTAAATTAGTGCAATTTCTTGGCTGAATTCAGTTTCCACAGTTTCTAAACCTTTCTCAGATAGTTTCCTCTTCCTTCACTCATCTTCCAAACGTGTCCAACAGAAACTAACGGCACACTCCTTTATACATTCTATTCCTTTCTCTGTTTATCTACCACTAGTTCATCTACTGATACTGAGTCTGCAGTCAGAGGACTCCTCCCATGTCACAGGCTAGGACTGGATCTGCTGCTCATATGTGTAAGGATATGTTTCTTTATTATTCATTACAGATATTTGACCTATTTCTTATACATAAGAGCTTAAAAATGATTTTTTCTCCAGCTCTTCATCTTTATTAACCATTTGATGACCATCTCAATCAAAACTGTGTTTGTTCTCCTGTTCATTTTGGTTTATCTTCTGTTTACTACCCACCCTAGGTTTCTATACAAAGAAACTAAAATTATGAAGCATAGAAAATTTCTTGATTAGTAAGGCATAGAAGACATCCATGTTCTTCTAACCATTTTTTGTTCCAATGAATCCACACTCCTTGATTCTTCAGCCAAAGTTCCCCAAGTCCTGTATACACATACCTCCACTCTGTCCTGGGTTTAGGAAATCTTCAACTAGCTCTTACGCTAGAGCTTTCTGGCAGCAAAGTATCCAACAGCATTTCAAAGCGATTTGCAATGTGAAATACAGATCCTTCCAACCATTTGCCTCCAATCGTATTTAGATCTGTTCATCTTCTTAGACATACGTTAGTATGTAAATTAAACTGACCAATTCCTCATTTTTACATTTGGAGAAAAAAATATCTTATTTTGCTTTGCTTGGCTCCCTGCTTATAAAATTCTCTTCTCCAGCTGTGGTTGACCTCTATATTTCAGTACCTGTATACCTACAAATTGTAGTCAGCATGTTTTTCTATATCTTTTCCTTTCTTGATACTTTAAATTGAAACAATTTTTTTCCAATTAAAATATATATAGGAATTTTTTATTTCATGCTCTTTTATTGCTTGTATCTGTTAATTACACACAAGTACTATGTTCTATAAGGAGATTTATGTTATCATAAATGATCCAAATTAGTCATATATACAAATTTGTATTTTAAAAGTATTTTAAAGTATTTCCAACACTTTATCATTATGCACTATGTGAATATTTTCATGCATCCATGTGTGCTTTATAATATACATGCATATATATATATATATATATATATATATATATATTCAACAGGTAGACAGATATAGCCATATACATGATTTAATGCACAGATAGTGATGCTAGAATTTCCATATTCAAGATTTCTTAATCTTTAATAATATACTCAATAAATCAATAACTACATATTAAATTGTGGGCAAAAGAGTGTTTCATTTCTAATCAAAATGTAATGTGATTTCTATTAATTGACAAATCTCTAGTAATTTTTATCTTTTATTAAGGTAACAACTAATCTGATAAAGTTTATATCATGAGACTTTTAATCATATTGTTCATGCTCATTTTTTTAAAGAATGTTTGTGTTTAATGGCATGTAACAGGCAATGAGGAGAGATATATAAAGAGTTTGAGGCCCATTCATGGTGACCACATGATGACATGATCATGTCCTGAAAGGCTTCTTTGGGGATGATAGTTCAGCCTACAAATTTTGGGCAACATAAATATTCAGACCACAGCAATAAGATAAAATTTAATATCCAAATAACACTGTCCAAAGGAATTGTATACATGGCTGGATAGAGATGATAAGTAAGATAATAAGTAAGTTGAATACCCCAAGTTTAACCATGAGCTTTTCACAATCTTCATAAGCATACTAATTTATATTAACTCATCATCTAACAAAAGCAAATTGTTTTTCTCAAAAAAATATCTGACAATTACAGTTTGGTTTCAGGTCAGGTGTTGTTATTGTTGTTTTAGTTTATTTTTTAACAGCATACTGACAATAGTTAGTTCTGTCCATATAAGGTCATTGTGGGCCAGTCTGTCCTTGCACCTGAAGGAAAAGTGACTTTTCTTCACTCAGCACCCATCAACAGCTAGTTGCTTCTCATCTAGGGATGGATAGGTATTAGGAGCTCCTCTGTCCTCTGTGTGAAACTTTTAAACGGTCTGACCTTGTTGAGATTACTGGGAAGGTCACTACAATTGTTTTGAGTTGAGATATTGGGGTATACAACAGCTACATTATGTCAAGAGGTCAGGATTTCATAACACACTTCTTTATGTAATGGCTTTTACATTCTTTTAGCTTCCTTTTCTGTCCTCAATTCATGCCCCTCAATCTTGAGCATGATAACTGCTTTGATTCATCTGTAGCTGAGTACTCATGGTGACTTATTCTCAGAGATTAACAGTTACAATTATCTCCATTAAATATATTCTTTCCAATAAGACATTTTTCTGATCAAAGTTAAGAGGAAAACAAATCTTTCAATTCCAGGTATTAGTCATTTTGCGAAACAATTTGTTTATCTACTTATAAGAATATATACTAGACTGAGAAACAGAACATGTTGACAGGAATAAATTTTCACTTATATAGTCAGAAAAGTTACTTAAATGGAGGAAATATAGACAATAATATATGGCAGATTCTCATTATTTTACTCCATTGAAATTAAATTTCCTTAGTAGTATTTGTCTTGGCATGCATGTGTACATACATACAAACATATATGCACATACTTATATGGTCTTGCTTATTGGAAACAGACTATGTGTACTTTTAATTTTTTTCCTTTCTCATTTTTCTGTTTGTCATTTTCTGTCTCTTTCTCCTTCCTTTCTACTTTTGACATCTTTCTCATATTCCCTTCTTCTGTCTAATCCTTGGGGTGAATCATTTGTATTTTCTCTAAATTGTTTCCCCTCAATTATCTATACAAGTCTTTGATCTCTGATCAGTAAAATCAATTAATTTCTTTTAAAAAGATACAATCACAGACACAGCACATTTGACACCAACTTAAAGCTACAGAAATCTGTTGCTGACCGTTAACAGGAATTCTCTGATTATAGTAAATAATGAAAGAAGAAGAAATAGCAAGAAGACTTCATGAGAATACCTACACAAATCAAACTTCCTATGAAATTAGTTATGAAAGGTGGGTAAATTTATCAAAACGTTACATAAAGAAGATAAACTGATTTAAATTTTCACAAAATGAACAGAAAGCAAGAGCTATAAACAAGAACTATTTATCCATTTGTTTCAGTACTTGAATTGAGAGGGGGAAGTCTAATGCTCACTAATGTCTTGAGAAAATCCCGGACAGAAAGTGGACTGACCCTCAGATGACACCCAATATGAAGTGCTGTATACAGCAACAGCAGCAGCGTAAGAGAAATGAGCACAGAGAAGGTCTTCTAATGAATAAAATATGAAGACTGCAATTACATGAACCAGAAAGAAGCATAATGACAGCAATAAAAACACAATTTCATGCCTCTGTCTCCTATTTCCCTTGTCTGAATCTGAATATAATTTACTAACCACTCTCCTGTTTATGATTATGTACAAAACAAAAAAAAAAAGCAAGATTGTGAATTTCCTGCCCTCAAGAAATTTCTGTTCATGATAGCACACAGAGGTCATTTAATTGTTCCAAAAGACAATTCACAGTCAGAAAGCCGTAATTTGGATTCCTTAGTGTGACATACCAATTATACATGATGTTAAGTGCTAAAAACTTAAGTGAGTAACCACAAGATGTGATCATTTTTATATATAGATGCAATGTAGTTTTTAAAATACAACAGTGAAAACATAAACTGTTTTTTACTGGATACTCACAATACACTTATTACAGTTTTTTCCTACAATATAACATAGAGAGCAGGGGTTATGAGCTACTTAAATGGCTCACTGAGTAAAGCCACCAGTCAAAGAGTTTAATAATCTTAGTTTAATCCCTGGAATTCCCATTGAGGAAGGAGAAAATCAACTCTAACTAGTTGTTCTCGTACATCCACACATGTGTTATGACACAATAACATTTTAAAGTGGAGTCATAAGATATTGACAGTAATCTACATAATGATGGAGATGTTTAGTTATCATGATAATTATATGATCAGCATATATTATTAATGCTTTCGTGACTGAATGAATTATGTGTGTGGATATATAATGTAACACAATGGAGAATACTGTTTTTATTTTAAAAAGCTACTGAAATAACATTAACTAAAAATGATAAAACCAGCATAATTTTTTTTCACGGCTGAATGATTTGCCATTTAAGGCAGGATTACTCAGACATTTACAACTCCAGTGCTCAGGGGGAGGCATATGATGTTAAATTGCACAACCTGAGCTTTTTTCTTCAGTAGGGACACTGTTGCTGTCACAAGAAACAGAAAAGTGACTTGAACAGAGTGTGACATACAGCACTATCACTTGGCTCCAAACCGAGAAATCTTCTTCTATACAAAGTAGCAATAAAAGAAACAGCTTTTCAAGACCTCTGTGAAAAGCAGTGGCTCAATTGAGGGTTCCAGGTTCTTTCAGTTAACAGAGAAACTAATAGACTCTTGGCTTCTCTTGGAAGTCTGCAATCAAATTAGGTGAAAGAAGAAAAGCCAGAACAAACAAAACAGGACCTGAATGATAACATGTTTGAAGAGAAGTGTCAATGTTGGATCTGGGATCTGAGATGTGGGGCTCCATTCTGGCTACATGGAGAATTACTCAAAGCAGACATGTTACTATCATACCTCTGGTTACTCTAGACCTGTAAAAATGACAGTCATGATCCAAAAATATCACAAAGTGATTGCTACTAGAAAAAGTTAAATCTTTAATTTTGTGCACCAAAAAGTGTGAAAACTTCATATATTTTCATATACCAGCAATTGCAACTCTGTCCAGTTTCAAAGCACTAAAAATTCTCAAAGTGAAATTTGTCTTTAACTACGTTTATATACATAGCTAAGTTTCTCCAGTCAATGGCTTTCATAACCTAGTTTGACAATCCACTCACTACCTGTGTTTTGTGTGTGTGGTTCTGTTATTTGCTTGCTTAATTTACAACAATGTCTCTTTCACATTGAAATCCTAACTGGCCTTTTAGTAGCTATGTAGTTCAGACTGACCTCATACTCACATAGGTCTGCCTGTCCCTGCCATCCATGTATTAAAGTCATGCACAATCATGAAGCAGAATATTTGTGTGGTGTTTTATAAAGATAGTAAGTGTGAAATTTGATCCTGACAATAGAAGACAGTAACATTAAATTCACCCAGATCTCATAAACCATTTCCAACTGAACTATACATATTCCTTGGTTTAAATTAAGTATTTCATAAATACATTCCCACATTAGAGGTTTCCAATAAGCCAGGCATGTGTCCTTGCTGATTTCTAAGAGGGTCCTGAATTTCATCACAGTTTTCTAATTAGGAGATAAAATTTGAGTCTTTTCTTTCTGGCAGCAGCTACAATGAAAGATTAGGACGAAAATGACAATTCATAACATTTTAGGAAGTATTCTAGAAGGCCCTGAAGGGTCTGGTATTGAATACTACAGACCTGGGATTACAGGAGAGAACCATGTGGGATATAACAGGAAATAAAAATGTTCTCTTTATGTGCATGAAGGGTAACAACAACAACAATTAAAAAAAAACAAAAGAACAACAGCAACAAAAATAAAAACTGAGCATGGCTTTCTGTGACATTAAGGTATTTAAGGATACTTTGATTTGGTATCAAATAACATAAAATGGTTTAAACTACACTGTGAGTTATAATTTTTCATTCAGTTGATTTATAGATTTAATCGTAAAGAATGAATCAGCTCAACTCTTGTGAAGTTAGCATGTTTCAGGGCAGGACTCTTGAGAAAAAGAGAAGGGATTAAGAATCACATTAAAGCTTGTAATTCTGTATTCCCATGAAGCAGAAATTATTCCAACACTGTTTCTCTCAAAGCTTACTTTAATGAACTAAGTAATAAACAATTTAGCCTCAAGAGTTCCTTGAACAAACTGTACATGTGGTTCCATAACATAAGAACATTTTAATTTCCTTGAAAGAGAGAACAAAAATTGTGCTCACAATTTTTGACTTGAGATAAATTTCGATTAGAATATGCTCCACAAGTCTGAAATAATTTATGATTAAGTCATTTACCCAGTAATCAAAAGTCTCTCAGTATTACACCAATACAATAACTAGATAAGGATGAAACACATCTAGATTAAATTTTGATGCAATAATCATTAAGAAATTCTTTAAAAATACTAAAAAATACAAAACTATATTAGACAAAAATTGAAAAAAATCACATAGCTTGATCAAACGTGATTTATCTCTGGAATATAAGGATGGGTCAACATAGAAGTTAATATGTAATATGCCACAGAAACAAAATAATATATAGAAATCACATCACCTTTTTAATGGATGCCAAAAATGCCCCTTAAGAAAATGTAACATTTTTTTGTTGCAAATTCAAAATTATATATGAAATGGAAGCACCTCAACACTTGAAGTTCAGATGCAATGAAGCTGCATCTAGCATATTCAACAGCAACAGGTTTTCATCTAAGATAAAGAACAGAACAAATATGTCAACACTGGAAATCAGTACCAATGTAGTATTAGAAGAACTAATGAAAACAGTTCACAAAAATAATGATAAAAATAAATCATGGTCCCAATCTTGGGGGGTGGGCTGCAAGCCTGGGTCGGCCCAACCCCAGTGCCATACAGGTCTGAGCAGGCAGACCGCACCAGAGATAAAATTTGGGTGATGTCATATAGCACGGGCAGGGCATAGTTCTCCTGAGATGACCTCAGTCACCCAGAAGCACTCCGTACCACTAAGATGAGCAAAAAAGTGCAGAGAAACAGAGAAGGAAGAGAGAGAGAAGCAGAAGGATGTGTGCACAATGAAGTCAGGTGTTTAATAATTGAAGATAGTTAGGAACAGACTAATGTGAGTATCTGGTGATGCTACCTAAAGGCATGGAGAAGTCCTTGTCTATGCTGCCACCCAGGGCAATTTCTGGATCTGTGTCACTGCAGTAGCAGGACTTTGTTAGCACTAAAAGTTAGGCAGACATGCCTTGTCTGGGCTGCTGCCTATGGTAATGTTGATGTTTGAGGGCTATGTAGAACTGATCCTAGGGCATTATGTGAGAATTGACCTGAAAATGTCAGAGCAGGATGGTTAGTCTTGTCCCTCATCAGCTGCAGTTCTCATGAAACCGCCCCCTCCTTGCCCCAGAAGCACAGTACAGCTGGTTCTAGTTTGGGGCTTTGAAGGTGAGGCAGCTTTGAGATTGAGAGTTAGAGAGCTGTCCCAGTCCTTGCCCCTTGCAGCATTAGGTGAGCTAGCCAGCACAGTGCTAGAGATCTCACCCTGGTTATGTGAAGGCAGGAGAGCTGAAAGGCTGATCAGCTCATATACCACCAAGGCCCAAGGCAGGGCTCTAAGTTAGCCCACTCCAATGTCATCTACACTATAGATGAACTACTGGAGTCCATGAAAGGGCTGGTCCTACAGAGCCAAAACTCCAAGATCTCCATGACAGACAGAAGCAACAAGATATCAGCGAGGAGTCCCAAATAGGATCCAGTATTGATACTGTAGCAGAATCCATAGGTCCTGAGCCAGACTTGACTCAATTCAATGACCATTCACAAGTAAAGAAGTGTTCACAAAAGATTATACTGTAGAACACAATGTAACACATTTACAGCTGCTACAACAGGATTTCTTTTCTTCTGCTGAGGGGGAGTTTGCAAGGGTAGAGGAGTTTGTCTGAAGAGAGAGGGAGAAGAGTGTGATTGGGGTTCATGAGGAGAAATTCACAAAGAATCAATAAGTTAAAATTTAGAAAATATTAAGGTTTCTCAGGACTTAAAAAACCACTTATCTGTAAATGAAGTGAAAAACCAAATCCAGATGTTATAAACCAAATTACTCTAACAGAATAAAATACACAGGAAGAAAATACTCAAAACCAGAAAATGTTATACTTGAAAAACTACAAAACACTGACTAGTGAAATTGAGATAGATAAAAGTAAAATAAAATATATCTTATATTTATAGATTAGACTATTTCACATTTCTAATATGCTCATACCACTCTAATAATTATGCAGATCTAATACAATCACTGAAGAAATTCCAATGTTATTGTTTAACATAAATAGAAAAGCAGTTCTACAACTACACTTTTTATACACATACACATATACACACAAAAGTGTATATGGAAATATACACTTTATAATAAAGTGTGTGGGGAAAACAAGATATCAAGAAGAACCTTATCTCACACCAAAT